CGATTCCCGGATCACTCCCCAATCATCCGGAGAAACGTCGTCGTACTTACTGGCCAACCTTTGAGGCTATTGTTCACAATTCACTTCTTGAATTTAAAGAACAGAGACATCTCCGAATGGATAAAGTTGGTTGTACGATTGGTTTGAGAACCCCGTGTGGCCGATTCCTCCAGGTAGTCAAAAGAATCTGTGGTAGTTCTACCTTGTTCGAGTCTGATATTTCGAGCTTTTTAGCCCGGATAGCTTCCATACACATAGCGTGGGGAGAGAGGTTGGTATCAGAAACCTTTGCGGCTCGATAAGATTCTGCTTCCTGTGTCGACCTTGACTGATACTCATCATGTACCCCATCCACAAAGGTGTCGACCACACAGGTTAAGTTCGAACAGCACAGATCGGCCACTTCCTGACGTGCCTGCTTTCGCGCTGGTTCTCATTGACAGTGACCAAACTTTTCGGTTTTTCCGAGCTGGACCTTTCTACGCACAAGGCTCAAACATGTTGGTAAAGAATGTTGACATTGGTTTCTCCTAGCTTCCACGCAGACGCCATCATCCCATAGCTTTCTCCGAAGCTCAAGACATCCGAATGCTTGGATGTCTTCGACCTTGGCAGGAATTATCTCGTTCCATTGAATCGTCAGAGCTGTGGGTAGTTTCAAACGCACTATACTTTGGGATGCGTTTGCGGGCTCGGCGGTTCACGGTAGTACTGGTGTTAAACAAAGTGGATTGGAGGTTACTGGGTGAATGCCGTGATAGGTCTAACACCGAAACGAGCCGACGCTGCAACCCGATTCCAAGATTCCGCAGGCCCCACAACTGCAGCAAAGCAACCCGGAGTCTCTTCGCTCCAAATACTCGTCCCTGTCATCGATCCACTAACACAACTTCTTCCAACGGCATTTTGGAGCCCCGCAATGGTTAATGGCCACCAGCATCATCGTGGGAGTTACTGCCCGCAGGATACTTTCTCTTAGTGCCCTTGCGCAGGAACTTCTTTCCGCGCTCCAGGATAGAGTATTTTAGATCATGCTTAGAAAACTCCTATGTAACAGTCAGATTTACTGTGAAAACTCCAATCACAAGGTTATGTATACGCCGAGAATGCAATACTTACTGACATGATCAAACACACGCGATGGTGCAAATCAAGAAACGCTGGATCCGGGAGAGGCAGCTTGTTTTTGGACTTGAAGGATACCATTTGAGGCATTGACTGAAATGACTCGTCGCGATCATGCTTATCGAGGATATAAACATTGTCCTGCTACGTAAGTCAGATGACGTTTAGTTGAAGCTGTGGAAACAGAAACCTACGTCTGAACATTCTCTGAAACTGAACTTGTGGCTGTTAAACTGGTTGTGACAGTTATACGTTAGACTGATCAAGTTGCTGGGTTGGTTGATCGTCTGGGGGCCGATCTTATCTCCCAAGCGCGGAAAGTATCTTTTTAAGGCGTACCAGATTGTAGCCTTATTGTTTGTCTAGAAAACGTTAGCTACTTTAAGTCTGTTAGTGACGATAAATTAACTTACTGCTATGAAGTCGCTCTCTTTGAACTCTGCGAGCTGAAAAGGGATGATATGAGCACAGTCCGTCCTTGACGTTCCATGTTCAATTGCAGGCCTGTCCTCTTTGTCCAAGTATCTCTTTATGGCGTCCTTGTCTTGCATTCCAGTGGCTACGCATCTCCAGTCATCCCTAGTAAGGATTGTCTTTCTGAGATTATGCTCTCGTTTGGAAGGCGTCATGAAGCCATCTGCCAAGCTCTCCTCGATGGTGGTCTTCGCATCATCGTCAACGGGTTTGCCAATGGGCTTTTTCGATGATATCTTCCTCACTGTGACATATTAGAAACCATCGTTCATTCTCTACATGAGATACGACAAAGGCTGTATTGAAGCTAAGGTGAATCGTATGACTTTCAAACTTACTTGGTCTTAAAATAGCATCGACTAGGTGGTTACGAAGGAGAACTAGGTTTTCACCAGGCTGGTGATGTTTCCGAATCTCGGAAATGAGGATTGCTTGTCCATCCGGGCAGAGATTGACCACGAAACTTCTCAGAACTCGAACGGTATCATCTGCTGTGGAGAATGGTTCGTAGCTACGTAGAATATCCATACACTCCGTATGGATTGATTCCCAAAGGCTTGCATCGGACCATCTGGACGACTGAGCAACCAACAACGCATCGGCTATGTCTTGATCTACTGTCGAGGTCGTTTCTAAGATGTCGTCTGGGTGGCTATGTATGGATTCCGTCTTACAGTCGAACTCGGCATTGCTAGTGGCTGAGTCGACACTCCTATCGCTATGGAGCTTTGAGTCGTGACTGGTCATTGTGAAATGATAAAAAGTCTTCGTCAAGGATCTGATTTTGCTACTGAGAATGGGCTGTCGTCAGAGAGGTTGGGATATTGTGCTCGAGGTTGGGATGTTGTGTTTGAAGTAAGAATATTCGCAGACAATGCAAGATTCTTAGGGGTGCCCGACAAGGTGTTTAAAAATTTCAAGGCACTCGAACCTTGAGGTTCATAGTAATCCATAATATAAGTCCTGCCCTGGAACTTTAATGAACATGGAAGAGGGGGTTCACGAAAAGAAACGTTTGTTCAACGGCGGTGAGTGGATTTCATAGGCGTTGAGGATCCCATCACCACACTATGGTCGAAACCGAAGAGTATAACATAGCTACTGTATGCATTGGAACTTTTGACAGGATATATCAGTTGACGCCTAAAAACGCTACATTGCTAAGACTCTCTACGAGGAAGTACATTTGACACCCTTGACGCCATCAACCGTGGTCTCTTCACACTTGATCGCCGTCGTGGAGGTGAAGGTCATAGTCACGGTGCCGTTGGTGGAAGCTTCATAGTTCACGCTAGCTTCCTGTTAGCTGCTCTGAGTGATAGCAGGGTTGCGACGCGGACTTACCTGGAGTTGAACTTAATGGGGTTGATTCCAATGCCAAGACCAATGTTCATGGTGTCCTTGGTAATGGTGAACCCGCCGCCGAGGCCGAAAGAGTCCGAGCCGGATTGAAGACCACCTGGTAAGCATTCCGTTTAGCAAGTTTCTAAAAGCTTTCTCTGCCGCGGATCTGCGTCTTTCTGTTCGTTTCCTGGGTTGCCCCGTCCTAGCTCGACCACTAACTTACCTCCAAAGGACTGGCCCTCGGCCCAGTTGATGCCACAGCCAACTCCAATACCTCCGAAGGGGGACAAAGTTCCCGCGGCGCTGACGGCGCCGGTTCCGGAAGTGGCCGTGACGTTCTTGGTCAGCGCCGTGATGTCAACAGCGGGCGTCGTGTTCTGGCGCGGAGACAGGATGCCGGCGGACGCGAGGCTAGCGCAGGCAACGAGCTTGACCAATGAGTTGATCATCTTGAATTCCTTCTTCTTAAGACGTTGCTAGGTATCGGACGCGATTCTGGATCGTTGTCGAATTGATCGGTGGATCGACGTTGGCGCGCGGGAACGAGTGACTGTGGTGAGTGAAACTTGCGATGAACGCATCCACCACCGCGCGCGTCACGCATGGGCGGATTCGTCGGGCATTTATATCTCGCCGCGCAGCACCCACCACCGGGAAAGGGGGAGCAGCGTTGCCCCAACCTTTCATGAGGAGTGTCGTGCGGTCCACCCGTCGAATGTCAATTTTTGGGGCTGATGTGACTGCGGGCTGCCCGGGGACTTGTCTCAAGAGCGGGCGCGCAATCTATTCAGAAAGTCTATTTTGAAACCCTGGTCCTGGGTGGTTGCATGCAAATGCCGAGTGAACCCCTATTTCCGGCGGACTGGTTCTTGGAAGAGGCTAGACTGCCCTATGAGGTTGGGATAATAGCATTGTTCCAAAGGCTACGGATCCTGGAATCGAAGTTGAAGTAGACAATGGTTGTTCATGTGCTTGGATTGGTGGTGTTCGTTTGAGAAGGTTCGACACTGACGCGAAACTCCAAGGCCAGATGTCGGCGAGTCATGAGGTACGTGAAGCTCAGTCAACGAAGACTACCGAGAGGCTTTTTTGAATGCAGCAACGTTCCCAAGATGAAATCTGAAGAATATCAATGTTAACATTCTATATCTGTCTTGAAAGAGACTCGGCGAGCACCGGCTGCCGTGACAGCTCGCATTTGCAGCCCTGCCCTCGTGTCGAAGCTTGATACGCAATTATGTGCTCTTAGCAATCGACGGAACACGAGACTTCACTCAAACATCGCTCAGTGATTAAGAAGAATATCAACTTTATGGTTTCTTGATCCCTCATACCCATGGTGCGCATCGAACTCAATGTCAAGCCCAGAAGTCTGGTGAAACCTCCGTATCCTCAATAGCTTCCCTCCAGTTGAGTTTATGCTCCAGAATTACTACGGCATACCAAAGAAGAAGTAATTTCCCCTTGCGTATGAAATGTTACTTCATGTCATAACACGCTCCAAATCAGTCCTCCTTATTTGATGAATGTTGTTTTGATATTGGATGGTTGGCGATCGAGGTCCATTCCGATCAACACAATCGTAGATGATGGCACCTTGCTTAAGAATTCGGACCTAGTGATAACCTCGTTATTCATGATGGAGCGACTACAAGTAAGCAGAACATGCAGGGTAAAAAACACGCGTCCGACTAAATGACAGATAGGACCTGGTCTGATGAGCTGATCATATCTACTGGCTCCGCGGAGGCCTCTCAAACCATCCATGAAGAATGCATGAGAACTCTGTTGCTGGTCGGGACCTCGCCGGAATTGGACGTTGGCAATCTGCCATTTGTGCGGTTAGGCTGATTTCAGTCAGACCTGCACTTTGCCAACTCTTTCTGTGGCGAAGCAGCTAAGACTTGTCTGCCTCGCGGTCTCACCTCGCAGCCACGCTTCTACCTATAAATTTGATCTCTCGATCCCCTCTTTCCACACAGCGCGAATGGGGCTCGCTTATTGTATCCCCCGGCATTCTGATCCCCGACAAGCGCTTCCGACAACCTAAAGCAGCCATGAAGCTTCTCAATTGCAAAACCCGCCAGGTCGAGGACTTCTGCGGCACCTCTATGCCTGCTTCTTACGCTATCCTGTCACACCGATGGGAGAGTGACGAGGTTACCTACCAAGATCTCCACACCCCGGAGCTCGCCACGAGGAAGGCTGGCTGGACCAAGATTCAAAGTTTGTGTCGAGTAGCACTCAAGTACGGCCATTCACATGTCTGGATTGACACTTGTTGCATCAACAAACAAGATCTCACAGAGCTTAACGAGGCTATCAACTCGATGTTCAAGTGGTACGCTGGTTCTGCAGTCTGTTACACTTATCTATCCGACATCGAGGATGGAGACCCAATGGACCACTCCCTTTGGTTCACCCGTGGATGGACTCTACAGGAGCTGATCGCCCCTCCTCGAATGGTTTTCTTCGATCGCAATTGGAAACCGATTGGAACCCGCGGCCAGTTCCGTAAAAGAATACACAGGCGCACACGCATCGATGAAGAGATGCTCGACGACACAGCCTCGCCCCGCAACAACTCATCCATCCTTTTTCGAATCCCGGTAGCACGCAGGATGTCGTGGGCTTCAGGCCGCAAAACGAGTCGAGAAGAAGATCGTGCTTATAGCCTACTAGGTATTTTCGGCGTTAACATGCCAATGTTGTATGGCGAAGGTAGTCGGGCGTTTCTTCGTCTTCAGGAGGAGATCGCGAAGACAACCAACGATTTATCTTTGTTTTCGTGGACGACTTCGATATTGAATGATCCATTGGAAACCCCGGGGTTAGACACATCTTTGGGAAAGCCAACACCAACAGGGCGGCTTGGGGAAGAACCCGTAGGGCCTCGTGGGATTTTCGCCACATCACCCGATGAGTTTCACTTGTCCCATGATGTTGTGTCAAGTAGAGACATCAAGTACAATCCTGAGGTAAGTTTCGCCCAAGTCAATTGATATGGCCTGACCGCTGGGTTCTTGAAAAGCTGACCTTTCTACAAGTTCACTGTGACTAACAAGGGGGTAAAAATTGCTATCGAAGCTACACTGTCAGCAGGAAATATCTGGCGCATCTCGCTTGGGTGTCGCAAAGCTAGTAGCAAGCCCCGACAGAACATGTGCATCCTTCTCAGAGAACTAGGCGGCGGCGTGTTTGTGAGATGGCATGCCAATGTCTGCATCCACGAACCAGGCAATGACCAAGGTTTGGAGACTACATTTTACGTCATGAAGTCCGTCAACGTGGACACAGAAGCAACGATTACTTCTCAGCTTGATAGTGCATTCCGCCGCTCATTCAAATTTCTCGATAAAAAGAACATCCTCAAATTTCGAAAGGCCAAGCCCATACGCAACTGGAGCCCCAGAGGGGCCATGTTCGTCACTGAAGGCCTGGACACCTTCGTAGGAGTTGTCTCTTGCACATTCAGCGACATGCCCTGGGTAAAACCTCTCGTCGTTGCTTGTGGATTTGAACCTGGAGTTCAGCCTTGGGTCATGATGGGGTCTGTGAAGGGAACTTCGAGGGAGTTTTATAAGGCCGCAGAAGCTGGAAATCTTCTTCGAGTCAAAGAGCTCTGCCTTGGTGATGAGAGTCGTATTTTCTGTTACGGCATACGCAAAGATGTGAAGGTTGAGTTAGGAGGAGGCAAGTATAGTCGTCTACGCGTGAATAGCCGGTTGTATTTTTTTTTTTTTTTTTTTTTTTTTTTTTTTTTAACCCCTTTTACNCGGGAAAAGCCGGTTTTTTTTTTTTTTTTTTTTTTTTTTTTTATATTGTTTAACGCCTATTACATCCCTTTTTAGGCACAAGGCGTCTGCACCAGCGATCTTGCTCGCTACTCATATATATATAAGTCCCAGCTACACTAGCTTAAATAGGTTCTAAAGAACAATAAGAAAAGAAAATAAATAATAAGAAAAAAAAAGAGAATAAGTAATAATATACTAAGAACTCCTATAATCTAATACTATAAAGTAAGTTTTATAATCCTACTAGCTTTACTTAAGGTTCTAGTAAGTATAATCTAAAGAAGTATAAATATATAAATTATATAGAAGGGGGTAAAAAGTCTATATTATAATAGTATTATAATAAGTCTAATAAGGTAAAACTACCTAAAGAACTTATTATAGTGTTATTATATATAGAGTAGTCTCTAAGTCGCCTAAGACTATATAAGATACTTTATCTCCTTTAGAAGTATATACTAGATTAACTTTAAAGTAGGATTTTATAATACTAATGTTCCTAGAATAATAATATCTACGCTTAGTACTAATACCCCTTTAAGGTTAAAATATTAATAGTAGGCACTATTTTATTAGGTTAAAGGTAATAGTAAACTAGTACTAATACTCCTTAAGGTTAAGATACTAACTACTATTACTAAAGTCTTATAGGTTAAGAAGTAGTATAATATAACTAAACTAATAAAGCCCTTAAGATACTTACCCCTAATAAGTACTTTATTAGTAGAGATATAAAGGTCTAATAAATATTTATAGGGGTTTATTATATTATAAATATAAACTAAAGATTAGAAGTCAGCCTTAGCTAAATATTATCTATAACTAATCTATATTATAAATAGATTTTAGTAAAGAATTAAGAGTAATAGAGTAGTATTATAAAATTAAGCTATTCCTACCCTAACTTTATAATAATATATTTAGCCTTAGTAACCTAAGGTTTAAACTTACTCACCTTATAGTAGAAAAATAGGTATAAGGGAGTCTTCTCTTTTTTATATAAGTAGTAGAGATAAGTATTTTAGTAGTTAAAGTACTTATAGTAAGCTATAAAATCCCTATAGCTACTTCACACTACTATAAACTAATAAAGTTCTTTTCTCACTAAAGTTTTAAGTTCTTAAGTTAGTTTAAGTAAGATATTAAGTTTAAACCTAATATAATATTTAAGCTAGTTTTAAGCTTACTATTCTCTAAAAGCCTTAAGCTACTATTCCTATAATCTCTACTTTATATAGGTTACTATAGGTAGCTATATATATAAGTCTAAAGAGGGCTAAGTAAACCTTTATTTTACTAAGAAGTTAGTATATTTATTACTTAGTATATCCTTATACCTAGGGGTTTATTAGATCTCTATAAGTACTAAAGTAATCTTTACTAATTATTTAAAGTCTAAAATAGCTTCCTATAATAAAGTTAGTAGTACCCCTTATAAGTAATAGATTATAGCTTAGTTATTTAGGTATACTATAATAATAGTAGTTTTATCGTTTAGTAAATAGAGTACTATAATTAAGCTAGCCCTAGCTCCTTCTACCTTAGTGTTAAAAACTTCTACTTTAGGGAGTCTATAGCTATTATTATAGATACTTATATTATTATAAAAAACTATAAAGCTAAAGCCTATCTCCTCTAGGGATAGTTATAAGCTATTAGTATAAACTACTAGTTATCCTAATAGTAAACTCTTAAGCTATTCTATATACTACTTTATAGCTATCTTCTTATTAACTACCTCTATTAGTAGTGCTATAAGGCTAAAATCCCTTAAGGATAGTATTAGTCTTATAATTTATAGAATACTTAACACTATCTCTATAAGTATAGTTAGCTTAATAAGCCTCTTAGCTTAATATAAGGGGTTATAGTTCTATACTTATATAATAAAGGGGTGATTCCTATCTAGTATTCTTAAATAGAGCGTAAATCTTATCTTCATAGTATTAAATAGGAGGTATATTAGTAAAGTACTAGTCTCTCTAGTATAAGCCTTTATTAATATTATATACTATACTAGTATAGCTCCTCTTAGTATAATATTAATTATAACCTAAAGTCCCTCTAGTAGCCCTTTCTATCTAGTATTAACCTTTAGGTAATTATCCCCTTATAACTTCACACCTAGCTAAATAAGGCTAAAATATTAAATCTTAGAACTAAAGTATACTTTAGGGAGTATTATAGTATAAATTACTTTATATATCTATACTAGTAAAGTACCCTTATAAACCTTATTTAAGCTCTTTAAGTATCCTATTATTACTTTAGCTATACTCTTCTATTCCTAAATATAATAATAAAATTAGAGGTTTTTATTAAAATATATATTAAGCTATCTTATAACCTTTTTTAGCTAAATAGTTAGGTCTTTATACTAAATAGTAAGGGCTAGCTAATTATATTTTTATATAAAATAGATTAGTTTAGTCTTTAAGGGATTAAAGTTAGTAGTATTCTTTTTTCCCTAAGCGATTATATTATCTAAGATCTTCTATATAGCCTAAGTTATTTCCTCTAAGTTACTTCTAATATAGAGGATATTATAATTATCTATATATCTAAATTAAGTTTTAATAAGGCTAATATAGTAAAGCCTATTAGTATAATTAAGGTAAAGTATTAGTGAGGCTAGAGAGCTTTAAGGTAACCTATAGATTAATAATACTATTAAAGTCTTATATCCCTTATATTAGATACTTACTAAGTATATATTATTTAGGTAGTAAACCTAAAATATAAGATTCTCTAGCTAGCTAAAGTAGTAAAGCTACTAGTATAACTTATTCTTTAGGATAGTATTAAAAGTACCCTCTATATCTATAATAATAAAGGTTACTACTTATCCCCTATTAAGCGCTACCTTAATATTATATACTACTATATTAATAATATCTATTAAAGAGCGTTTTAGTAAAATACCTATAACTTATAGGTAAAGTACTCTATACTTTATACTAAGCTATACTATATATTTTATAATAAATCTCTTAAGTCTTTTTCTAATAGTTAAGAGTAGTAAGATAAGCTACTAGCCTTTATAGGTATTAGTATCCCTATTTAGCTTTAGTATTAATAATACCTCAGCTTCCTACTATAAGTAGAGGTAGTATCCTACTATTAAGTAAGCTTAAAAAAGTCTATAAATATATAACTTAATATATAGCTAAGCTACAGAAAGTATTAAGATAGTAATATTATTAGTACTTAAGGTAGTATTACCTACCCTTAAGATAGTACTTTACACCTCCTCTAAGTAGACCTTTAGGTTAAAAAGAATTATTTAATAGGGGATAGTAGAGGCTTATAGCTAAATATTATTATCTATTATATAAACCTCTAATAGTTTCTACTTAAAATATAAGGTCTTCTTATTAGGGTTAGTAATAAAACTATTATTACCTTAAAGAAGAGGGAACTAAAACTAGCTCTTAGAGTTCAGCTAGCTTATAATATTATATAATACCTTCACTAAGTTAATACCTTTAACTTAGCTAGTCTATATATTTATTTTTATATCTATAACTATCTTATCCTAAATCTTCTTTACTACTTTTATCTCTAGGTCTTATAAGTCCTAAGTGATATTATATTATTATTTCTAATCCTTATAAGTAGTATTATAGTCTTTTATCTACTAAGACTTACTTCTACCTCCCTTTCTATAGTATTTACTTTTTACTATAAGTATAGTCTATAAAAAGGTAGTAAGGTCTCTCACTATATTATTAAGCTTATTATATATAGCTATAGCGTCTAAGAGAAGCTAGATATACTCTATTATATATTCTATATAAAGAGGGAGTTCTTTAGGTCTAAGTTTATATTCAGCCTACTCTACTAGAGGGGGCCTACTAAAGTCTAAGTAAGGGAGGGTTATAATAATAATATAGTAGTCTAAGCCTATAAAAAGATACTTAGCTACTTATAATCTAACGTAAGAGATATTTAAAAGCACTAAGTTAAAAATATTACTTACTTTATAAGTAGAAATACTTAGTTTATTAAGTAGAGTAAGTTAAGACTAGTTAAGCTAATCTATAAAAGTAGTAACACTAGAAGTTAGGTCTACCTCTAATTATTAAGTCTTATAGAGGTAGTTAAAGTTACTTATAACTAATATACTATAAAGTAGTTCCTATAATATAATAATATTAAGCACTATTTAGTTACCCCTTTTATAATATATATTAAGGATATATTAACTTTTAACCTTCACCCCTAATAAGTTATAGTATAATTTAGAAGTAATATTAAAGAAGCCTAAAGTTAGTAATATCTTTTTAATATAAGTAATAACCTATAATTAGGTTTTCTTTAAATCCTAATTATAGATAGGTATATATATATAGTATTATAGGTATATTTTAGTCTTATTATTCTTTTTCTTTTTTATAGTATACTAAAGTTCCTAGATAAGGATAATATTAGCACTAGCTATACTAATAAATCTAAAAGTAATATTATATATTACTTTTACTTTTTAGATATTAACTTAAAAGATATTAAGTAACTTATTTATTAGTAGTTTTTAGGTAACTTTAACTATAAAGCTTCTAGTATATATTAAACTATAAAGTAATTTCTATATCTAAGAACTATTATAAGGAGGAGGCTATTAAGCTATTATTAACCTAACTCTTATCATTAAAATTATAGTTAAAGTCTAAAAGTTCTATAGCTATTCTATAGTATAAGCTAGCTATATCTATATTTTATAGCTATTCTAAGGGGGAGGGGATAAGTATTAATAAATCCCTTTCCTTAAGTCTCTATAACCTATTATATTATAATATTTCAAAAAATCTAGTATCCTTATAGTAGTATTTAAGCTTATCAGCCTTTATTATAACCTAAAGTTTACTACTAACCACCTTA